GTGGTCATCCGCCAAGGGGTCCCAGACTGCGAGAGGGCACAGGCCGGGCTGAGGGACCCCCCTGAGTGCACAAATTTTTGTGCACTGGGCCTCTAGTTTAATATATAAAACAACATGAGTAACACATATGCAAGTATGGATGGCATCATAATAAAATGCTCAAATGAAATAGAACCCACTTATTTCTTTTCATCTCCACTACTATCATCCTTAATCAAATTTACTATGATCTCTTGCCTAGAATATTTTTAACAGTCTCTTAACTGATTACTTTATGCCCTTAAATTCAATTTCCATAAACAGGGTTATCCTTGATTAAAATCTTTCAATGCTTTCACACTCACTTTGATTAAAATCCATACTCCTTACCATCATCTACAAACCCTTGAATAGGCAGTCTCCTGTGTCTCTAATCTTATTCTACACCAGTCTCCTGCTCATTTATGCTTCATCACAGCAGCTTCCTTTGGTTTCTAGAACACATTACATTATTTTCTCTATCAGGTTATTTGCCTGGAATGTTCCTCTTTTCCTCTTCCCCTGGCTGGCTTCTTCTGGTCCTTCAAGTTTCCACTTAAATGTCACCTCCTCAGAAGCCTTCCTTGACCACACTATAAGGTGGCAGCCTCATTCCCCATCCCAGTTACTCTTTCATACCCCTCAGTTTATCTCACAGCTAAATGTTATTACTATCACTATTTAGCTTGTTTTTGTTCATTTACATGTTAATTATCTATTTCTCAAAAAGTAATCTTCATGAGGGCAGGGACCTGGTCCATCTTACTGCTGTAGACTAGTACCTAACTGTGCATATATAGCTGACTCCATTTAAAAACTAATCCTTCTGAACCCTTAACCCTATTCCCTTTCCCCTTGGGAACACTATGAATGTGTACAGAGACTCCAGGTTAATCGTGAATTACCATTATTCCTTCCTCCACCATTAGTCCTTCCTCCTAGGAAAGGTACCCTCAATGTTATCTTGCCCTGGGGCCAGAGCCCCCATTATCTGGTCCTTTTGTTCTCCTATATCACCTTGCATTCCTTTTGGAGTACTAGGTCCATTTCTTAGGAAGGTGTAGAACAGGTGGTCTGGGGGTGAATGGGGCAAGGATCCATGTTGTCCTGCACCCACCTAGGACTGTGTTTCTGTAAGCTCTCTATTAAAACTCTTTAAACTGACAAGCTAGACTTGTCTGCTTTGTTCTTTGGCCTCTCAAATCCTTTGGAATTTGGGGGCTGATTTGCATACACAGTCTTTTCACGAAACACTAACCCAGTTCACAGTATACAGACACTGATTATATAAATACTTTATTTTGATTCCCAACTGATTTTTTGTTTGTATTCTTAATTAGTTGAAAATCCAAATCTGAGAGATTGTCCACAATATCCAAGCTTGTTTGTATTCTCAATTAAGAACCTCTAAAGTTTCAACAGGCTTATAGATGAAGAAAGTCAAATAATGACCAAGTATGTTTAGCTTAAAATAAATCAGTGTTGATTCTCAAGAAAGCATTTTCAGAAAAATTAATAAATGAAAACCATATCAGATAATGATTAAACAAAGAAAAAATATAAATTTAATTGGAGACAATAGAATTGAAAGGAATATTTTACGTATGTTTGAATAAAGAAGGAATAAAAGAACAGTAATTAAAAATCATGAATCCAAGAATGTATGCATCCCTATGTTCATAGCAGCACAATTTACAATAGCTAAGATCTGGAAACAGCACAACTGCCCATTAGCAGATGAATGGATAAAAAAAGATGTGGTACATTTACACTATAGAATACTATGCAGCAGTAAAAAAGAAGGATCTCTTACCCTTTGAGACAGCATGGAGGGACCTGGAGAGTATTATGCTAAGTGAAATAAGTCAGTCAGAGAAAGACAAGTATCACATGATCTCACTCATATGTGGCATCTAATGAACAAAATAAACTGATGAACAAAATAGATCCAGAGACACAGAAGCATGGAACAGACTGTGGTATCTCAGAGAGAAGGTAGGGGTGGGTGGCTGGGTGGGAAAAGATCAACCAAAGAACTTGTATGCATATATGCATAACCCATGGACCCAGACAATAGGGTGGTGAAGGCCTGGAGCAGAGGGTGGGCTAGAAGGGGTCAATGGGAGGAAAAAGGGGACATATGTAATACTTTCAACAATAAAGATTTAATTAAAAAATCATTAATCCGAGAAAGCAAAGTAGGATGGAACAGGAACAAAAAGTAGAGGACTAAGAGAGGGGAGAGGGGAAAAAGAGAAGGAAATGGAGGGAGGGGGAAGGAAGAGAGGGAGAAAGGTATAGGGACAGAGGAAGAGAAAGAATCTTTTCCTCTGAGATAGCTTTGAGAAAAGATACTCTCCAAAATATTTCAGATATTCTGACTCATCCATGGAATAAATCCCATCTTCCTGGTTCTTATGAACTCACCTGGATAGGGGGCTCTTGAAATTTCTCTCATTACCACCCATGGTCCTTTTTTATCCTCCAAACGAGATATCATATCAGGTTTGGAAACTGTAAGCCCTGTTCAGAAAAAAAGGAATAGGATTTGATTGTGCCTATGAGAAGAACTATTGCCAAATTCAGTCTCAGCTCTTAATCTCCTGTGCAGAGTGGCTATTGTAGAAAGTTCTATAGATGTGCTATCCAATAACAATTGCCAATAGTTTCATGTAGCTATTTAAATTTGAATTAGTTAAAATTACATAAAATTTAAAATTTAGTTCTTCAATTGGACTAGTCACATTTCAAGTGCTCAAGTGGCTAGTGCTTGGCATATGGAAAGGACTGATGTGGGTCATTCCCACCAGTAGAACATTCTACTATATCAGTGATGGCGAACCTTTTGAGCTCGGCGTGTCAGCATTTTGAAAAACCCTAACTTAACTCTGGTGCTGTGTCACATATAGAAATTTTTTGATATTTGCAACCATAGTAAAACAAAGATTTATATTTTTGATATGTATTTTATATATTTAAATGCCATTTAACAAAGAAAAATCAACCAAAAAAATGAGTTCGCATGTCACCTCTGACAGGCGTGTCATAGGTTCACCATCACTGTACTATATAATGGGTGTCAGAGAATTACAAAGGTATTTCAAAGTTCAACACTATGACCCCAAGTTTGTTGGGATAACAGATCATGAGAATAATCTGTTTAGAAAGAAAAGGAACAAACAGATACTTATAAGAGTGACTAGAAAAAATTTTAGTTCTAAATCAGGAATTGTCAACAATCTCCAAGATTCCAATGAAATATGTATTTCTTACTCTGCAATGGGTAGGCCATTTAGTTAAGAGTGAGGAATAGCTAACTCCCAACAATATGCTCCTAAGATTATGAGATTTTAATGCCAAAATTCAGCAAACCTGGTCAAATGGGCAGATGCATATACTTACCCAGGGAGACAAGATTCCTATAATTCTCTAGCATCACATCCCTGTGCAGGCCCCTCTGTGTAGGGTCCATCAACCTCCATTCTTCCAATGTGAAGTCTATTGCCACATCTTTAAATGTCACTGATTCCTAAAGTAAATACATTGTGATCACCCAGGGACTATACAATAAGACCTGTTAGGCAGAATAATTCATACAGAAGTGAGGAAAAATTTCAGAAATCAGAATCACCAAATGACGATGGAAGTTAACCAGTTCAACCTTTAAAGGATGTATGAATCTCCCCAGTGATAAGAACTTAAAGTCCAAGAGGAAGCCCATTCTATTTTTAGTTTTATCTACTAGCAGGATTTTTTTTTTCAGACTAATTCAATCTGGATTTCTATAACTTCAAAAAAATTGGTCCTACTATATTATCTGGATTGACACAGCATGCTTTCCTCCTTCCCTAGGAAGTCTTTAAAATATTTGATAACAGCTACTAGTTTCTACCCAAAGCATCCTTTCTTCTTAAAAAGCCTGGCTTATGTATAATATCAACTCTTTTTCAGTTTCAATCTATAAAATATGGCTTATCAAAAGATACATTTTGTAATTCAGATGACAGAAAAAGATTATAAGCTCTCTCTTTGAAAAATAAGAAAAATCACAGAATTTTGTGGAACTTCTTTGGTCAGGATATGAAATATATATGCAACTGTGTAAAAAATAGAAGAACCAACCATAAAAAATTTTAATCTTACCTACTGGAAGGAGAAAATAGAGCAGGAAACTGGAATAAAAGCCAGACTCCAGTGAATATTTCTTGTTTTATAGATTTGACTTTTGAACCATGTGAATATCGATATATATAAAAGCCTAAGCAACCAGACGACCAGCCAGTAACTATGATGCACACTGATCACCAGGGGGCAGATGCTCAACACAGGAGCTGCCAAGTGACAGCAACTTTGCAGAGCGCCCTCTCGCACTTCAGGACCCCTTAGGGGATGTCAGACTGCCGGTTTCTGCCCAATCCCCGCAGGCCAGGCCGAGGGACCCCACCAGTGCACAAATCCATGCACTGGGCCTCTAGTAGTATTATAAAAGAAATACTTAAATGAAAAATAATCTATAAACCTATTTGCTCTAAAAGTAAACAAAATTTATAATAGTGTGGGAATATGGTACATTTCTATTGTGACATCTCACTTGAAAAAACTACTATTGTATAAGGCAAGTAATTTTCCAGGTGATTTCCTATGCCACATGATAAAATCATAGCAGAAAAAATTAAAGTTATATCTTGCTAATTCCCTCGGCATATGATCCCCAAATATATTTGTAATTCTCCCTATCACATTGTCCAAACAGTCTTAAAATCCAAGCAATATGGATGTACTATTTAAACATTTGCCACACTGGTTTTTTTGAAAAGTTGACATATTATTTTTAGATGTTTCCAACAACAAAAGCAATCCGTAAAAATTAAAAGAAAAATGAAACTAGCTGTTAGAATACACATTCATCAGAAAGACACTATTTTGAGTGGCGTTAAAACACAGTAATTTTTCTGGATATCCCTTCTGAGGTACACTCCAAAGGAGAAAAAAACTACAAATAACAAAAAACATGCTTCAGTAAGTAATCATGTTGGTGGTGGTAGTGACAGAAATGCTATTTTATAACTGTTGTTTGTATAGTGTTAGAGAAAGCAAATTAGTATACTGATGTCATTGAGAACTAATACATTTGGCATGGGAAAAGTAATATGTAAATGTAATATTGATGAAATTATATAAAAACTCTATAGATCCAAAACTGAATTGGAAATATAGTCTAAATTTATGAGATTTTATTTTTAAGGAAAACCGTATTTCCTAGCTTTGACCACTGAAAAGGCCTAGAAACAATAACCAATAAGATAGCATTATGCAAGCCAGACTGTGGCTTGTAATATTGCTTCCCACTAAAAGGAATCAGGGCCTGGAACTTTCTGTCATACTAAAAAGCAAGGAAGCTATCAAAGGCTTCTAGGATCATGTCTAGGACAGGAGGCAATTTGAAGAGGCTCCCATTGGCTAATGATGGGACAATCTGAGTATTAATGAGGATAATAACTGTAGTGGATTTCAAAAATATATGTTTAAATTCATAATTTCATAATAAAATTATAAAAATACTCATTGATCATTTTTGAGAGATGATTGGAAACTGGTAATTAAGAAGAAAGAATCAACCTTTCGTCCTTTTTCAATGCAAAATATATATACTTTGTGTAGTAATCAAGTGTGATCAAATAGTTGATTGGGGAGGTTTCTCTTTATGTAAGTACACTAGCTAGTACATGAAGAGGAACAAAAGAATTTGATCACCATTTTGCAATCTTTAATAAAGTAAAGGATCATAAGTGACTGCTGTAAAATTAATGAGATACTTCATTTTTATACCAAGTCATTGAAACATGAGTATTTTAAATTTACAAATATCTGTAAATGGACCAGTCACATTTCAGGTGCTCAACAGCCACATGTACATGTAGGTAGTATCTACAGTACTGAACAACGCAGCTCTAAAGTACAATGACAGTTTCTTCAATAAATGATAACAACGGGAAGACAAAGAGGGAGGGGGAAATCTCTAGATTAAAAGTGAACTAAGAGACAATATTAACTAATTATAACATAATAATCAACTCAATATTTGATAATATTAAGGCTGTTAGTTTTTTAGCTGTTGACTCTTGAACAACATGGGTTTGAACTACACAGGTTCACTTACACATGGATTTTTTCAAAAAATACATACAGCACTTTATTTTCTCTTCCTTATAATTTTCTTAACATTTTCTTTTATCTAGCTTACTTTATTTTAACAATACAATGTATAATATGTCTAACATATAACGTGTTAATTGATTGTGTTATCAGTAAGACTTCTGGTCAACAGTAGACTATTAGTAGTTAAATTTTTGGGGAGTCAAAAGTTATATGCAGATTTTTGACAGCACGTATGTTGATGCCCCTAAACCCTGCATTGTTAAAGAGTTAATTGTATACTTAACATTAAAAAATAATGTGTTATAGATTATATAATATCTTATATGTGCTTCAAAATAATTAGCGTTACAGGCAAAATAAGATTTTCCATGAATTGATAGTTGTTGAAGATGGCAATAGGTTCATCAAGATTCATCAAACTTGCCCTAACTGGTTTGGCTTAGTGGATAGAGCATCGGCCTGCGGACTGAAGGGTCCCAGGTTTGATTCCGGTCAAGGGCATGTACCTTGGTTGCCGGCTCATCCCCACTAGGGGGTGTACAGGAGGCAGGTGATCGATGTTTCTCTCTCATTGATGTTTCTAACTCTATCTATCATCGATGTTAACTCTATCTCTCTCCCTTCCTCTCTGTAAAAAATCAATAAAATATATTAAAAAAAAAAGATTCATCAAACTATACTCTCTACTTCTGTATAAGAATAGTGCATATTATTTGTCAGGTACTGATCTAAAGACTTTTTATGTAATGACTGAATCCTCAATAGGGAAAGTACTGTCATCTATAACAGTGGTCGGCAAACCGCAGCTCATGAGCCCTATGCGGCTCTTTGGCCCCTTGAGTGTGGCTCTTCCACAAAATACCACATGCAGGTACGCACGTACAGTGCGATTGAAACTTCGTGGCCCATGTGCAGAAGTCGGTTTTCGGCCTGGGCGAGTCTATTGAAAAAGTGGCGTTAGAATAAGTGGGGGGTGTCGGACAGTCAGGCGACGGGAGACGAAGCGCAGGCAGGCCGCAGGATATGCAGTGCGGGGGAGGCACGCGCGATTCATGCACAAGTTGAGTGAGCCAGTCAGTCAGCAGTCTCATTGTGCAGTGGTTAGTGCTAGTCGCGTCCACAAATTGCACGTGGGTGACAAAAGTACCTACTCGAAGCATAAAGTTACCTGTATTTTTCCAACCAGCTACAAATCCTACAGGGATTTTTGTCATCAATTTAAGAATTGTAATTCTTTTGTGTTGGTGGCTTTATTATTATAAAATGAAACATTTTTTTAGGTGCCCTGTTTGACAAGTATACAGGACACGTGTGGATGGGAGAGTTGGAAGGGGTTGACCTCAGCGAACATACCTCAATCAGATTGAGGACGTTTTTAGCAAAGGCCAGCTAAAGAGTACCCTAATTAAGTTAATAACAATGTACCTACCTATATAGTTTAAGTTTAAAAAATTTGGCTCTCCAAAGAAATTTCAATCGTTGTACTGTTGATATTTGGCTCTGTTGACTAATGAGTTTGCCGACCACTGATCTATAATAATAAAAGTGTAATATGCTAATTAGACCAAATGCCCTTCTGGATGACCTTCCAGACGAAGCCAAGGCTGCGAGGGAAGCCTGGGTCCCGGGTGCCAGTGTGGCAAATCTTTAAATAGTACATCCATGTATTTTTAAAATATATTTTATTGATTTTTTACAGAGAGGAAGCCAGTGCTGGCAGCTGGGGGAAGGAAGGTCTACTCTTGCATGAATTTCATGCATTGGGCCTCTGGTCTACAGATAAGGAAATTGAGGCATGGAGAGGGTAGGTACTTTGCCTAAGTTCACAAAGGAGGCAAAGTCTAGGTTCAAATCCAGGCAGTTTGGATCCAGAATTCAAGCTTGTTAATCACTATACTCAATGATCTAGTAAATTAAGAGCCCTTATTAACTGACTAATCAGGCAAAGATCTCAAATTACATAATATTTGGCCAAGGTCTGCTCTATATCAGAAGAAACACATTATCTCAGGGTGTTTTCTGTCACATAGATACATATGCCTATCAAACTGTTTAAACCTCTTATTGCACCTCAAAATTTACAAAGCATGTTTTATATAATTCTGCTAATAATAAAATATGGCTAATGTGGGAGATTACAGTTCATAAACTTTATTGCTAATCACTTCACACAAAAATTACAATAATGTTTTTAAAATTACAATAAATTTATTGGCTTGTTTTCTTTTCCAATCAAGAGCTAAGCCCCAGGAAAAATCCAAGAAGGCCTTCAGCTCTCACCTCTGGTTTACCTTGAGGTTCTCTGTAAGCAAGAAGTAAAGGGTAAGTCAAAGTTGTAAACTGCCTGCTTAAGAGTAGAAGATATGTCAAACACAAACAAAAGCCCTTTGGTAAATGCTGGAAGACTTACTGGCTTAAGATTTAAGGAAATCTATGTCTAATTATTAACTAATCACTATGTTAAACAGAGATTTCAGTGGCCATACATGATATAGAATACAATCTTCACTGAATTAGTTCAGGAAAGTTACTAAATAAACAAAATAGCAGCAGCAGCAACTACAACAAATTGCAACAACAAATCCTGGGGAGGGGAGAATCTGATTTCCAAAGTGGCCACATTGTATTATTTAAAATACTATATTTTCAACAAAAATTACAAGACACACAAAGAAAAAGAAAAGCATGGACCATAATAGTAAAAGAAAAAACACACACAGTCAATGGAAACTGTTGAGGAAGGCAAGAAGTTATACTTACTAAATAAAGACATTAAATCAGCATTATAAATATGTTAAAAAATGTAAAGTAAACTAGGTCTAAAAAATTAAAAGAAATTATGATATCTCATTTAATAGAAATTCTAGAGTTGAAAAATACAATAACTGAACTGAAATGAAAAATTCACTAGAAAGGTTCAGTGAAAGGAAACAGCAAACTTGAATCACACAATGGTCAGAACGTTTGTGTCTCCCAAAATTGATATGGTGAAATCCTATTGCCCAATGTAATGGTCTTAAGAGATGGTGCCTTTGGGAAGTGCTTAAGTCATGAAGGTAAGACTCTAATGAATGAGACTAGTGTCTTACAAAAGAAGAGACTCCAGAGAGACCCCTAGATCCATCTACCATGTAAGGATATGATGAGAAGTCTGTGACCTAGATGAGAGCCCCCCTCTGACCATGCTGGCACCCTGATTTTGAACTTCTAGTCTCCAGAACTGTGAGAAATAAATTTCATCCCACTGAGGAAACATGCACATGTCTTGCCTCCTGTCCTAGTCCCCGAGCCAGTAAAGGGGAGCCCACAGGGGCTGGCTGGGGAAGAAGAGGAGTTTGTTCTAGAAGGAACTGTCTAAGGGATCATACGGATTTCTAAACATGGAAAGGGAGAATAAATAACTTGTTGAAAAATCATTGTATATTTTCTCA